GACAAATTACGCATCAACCGTCATACAAGATCAATAATAATTTACAAATTTACACAGTAAAAATTATAAAAATTCATAGCTGTTTGAAAAAAACTTTTCAGATCTTTATTTGCACGTTCATTGCCATCTTCGTCAAACTCAAAACCCTCAAAATCCAAGTCGGCGTCACTGTAGCCGTCGAACAAAATCCCTACAACTTATTCCTGAAGTTCGTCGATATCGTCCCACACAATTTGGACCTAGCACTTTTAATCCACGGATTTCGCAGTCTGTCAGCTTGGCACTTTTCATTCATGTCTAATCATAATAAAGAGACAAGAAAAATGGGGTCGCTCTGCTGCGATGGCACACGATGCTTTTGTTTACAGTCTAGCAATCTCTTTGACCTTTATGCATCTGCTTTACTGATTGGCTAATAATAACATCACTACTCGTATTTCATCATAAAGGTCAAATCGTGACATTGCTTTTTTATCAGACTCAACGCTTATTAATCACGGTGAAAGTTATCATTCAGCAAGTTCCGGCGGTTGGAATGTCTCACTATATGGATATCGCGGTGGACTTGAAATAGGAAGGTTTTTTTTATCGACAGAAGAATGTTACTAAGGAAGCACAAACCAAACGACCGGCCATTTTTAGGGCCACGACATATTTTAAAAGAGAACTATCGTTTCTGCTTTAATATATATTTTTATAGACTTGCTGACTGTTATGATTCAGAACGCGCTGCCCTGAAGGCAGAAAGCTGTCACAGCTATTTTGCGTTCACCCCTTGTTTTACGCAATTAACATTTTTTATAAGTATCACAACAGTCTTCAAGAAAGTCAACTGTTAATACAACCACAGTCAACGAATAGAAAATAGTTTTTTTTTGTGTAGAAAAAGACCCCCTGGGCGTGTGCCCCGGATATGACCTCAACTCCTTTATTGTGTCAAAAGTGGGGGGTGGGCGTTTGCCCAGGCATGGGCTCTTACCCAGATAAGTACGGTAATATATATATACGTAGATAGCAGCAAGTTATGCAACATAGGGTGGCGGCTGCTTCTACCCAATTTACGGTCACATTTTAATGTGGCTTATCTATTAATAGATTTACAGTTGACAATACCTTTGTCTATTTATCCTCGTTGTTACCTTAAATATGTAAACTAAGCCTGTGTCAGAGATACTGTAGAATACTTTATTTTCGCTTGTAATTTATTTTCGCTATTTTCGCTGAAGGGATGTTTCCGTGAAAATAAAATCCAGTGAATATCGTTTTTTCCTATATTTCACAATAAACTCATCAAAAATCAGTGAAAATAAATTCCACACAAAACGCCCAAAAAGCCTTTTTAAGCGAAATTAATTCCAGCGAAAATAAAGTATTCCACAGTTTTTGCAGCATGAATGTAACACCAGTCATATCTGTACCTGTGTGTTCAGGAGCTCTAGAAATGCATGCAATTCAGTTTGCCTAGACATTATGTAATTCGGGAGATTAACTCTTGTCACTTTCCCGACTTGCTTGTAGTAATCCATGCCATAGACTGTGGCATAGACAGTGATTACAATATGTACTACTATATTTATCATAATTATCATTATCTTTTCTTTGTTAGTACCCGTATGTTCCAGCACACATAACTAAACCAAAAGAACATAAAAGACTTTATTTAGTACAGCTTGGGGAAAAAGGTAGGAATTTATAGTGTTAATAATATTCACTGTGAACTCACTGTTTTCAAGACCCAAGTAAATGTGATTCCCCCAGTAAAATATTCTATATTTTTTTCTGAATTGCAAATTTTACAAAAGAATCGGAAGTTCAAAGTTAGCAGTAGCGGAAGACACACAGACTAACAACTCCTGTCCTAGGACTACCGTATTATAAACATGCTATTCCTCCTGCACTACTAGGAATTTACAAAATCATGGCGATGAATTTTTACATTCACCATTTTTTTTCTCAAAGTTTGGTGTTCTGTATACTGAGCAATATGTGCCTACCGTACCTGATCCGACTGCCCAACCTAGCAATGATACAAACAACTCTCAGAACTTCCAAGGCTTCCAAGAAACCTTGTTAGTTTTAAACCCCGTATGTATGGATTTGCTGAACGTTTGGTAGAAATGTTGATGTTTGTGGATTTTATATAAATTATTGTAATTTTCATATTAGTTGAGTGATAAGCTGATTTTAAATGTGTTTTCGTAGCTGTCATCAAGATTTCATATCATAAGTAACATCAATTGATCCACTATCTTCAATTACATATGAACTGCAAGGGGTTTTCTAGAAAAAGAAACTGCAAGAGGGTGCACTGCAATTCAGCGGCGCCACCTAGTGGGGGAGATAGAGTTCTCCCTACCAGGGTGTAGAGTTTTTGATAATTCTAAGTTAGAATGGAGCATTCTATGGCTTCCTTGGGGCCAAAATTACTATCAGACAGGTCACAGTTGAAGACTGTGGCCACAGGAAGTACAGAATTTTATGGTAGCCAGAGAATCTGCTCTCGAGGGTAATGGGGCGCATGGCCATGGCATGAGCGCGCTGCGCCCTTGTTCTCTTGTTTAAAAAAAATCCCTGAACTGCATTTACTCTTTATTGCTAGTATTAAATTAACTGATTCATCCTTGTTTTTATTTATTTTGATTAGCATTGTTTGCAGTACCGAGGAATTATAAATTAGTAGCGGCCCCTTTGTTTGAATTGTACGACAATGCACCAGGATATGGACCAATCATATCAAGTTTACCTCAGTTACTCAGCAGGTAGGTCAAAATTCAAATTTGTTTGGGAATAAATATATTTACATTTTCCGTGACTTCATAAATTGTAAGAACTTGACCAAGTGACGAGTCCCCCCCCCCCTCATTTCAACATCAGTTTTATTTTGCATCGCTATGAGTTTTGTTATAGC